TTTCCCCCCCCCCCCCCCCCCAGGAACTTTCCTCAGATATCTCTTTGATGCAGCCCCACCTCTGCTCAAAAACCCTCTGTGACTCCCGTGGCCGGTCCCCATCCACTGCCGGTCTCATTCATCTGCCTCTGTGACATCTCTGGGATCCTTCCCTCCCTCTCCGCGCACCCTCAAGGCCTTGCCCACTGCGGACCCATCCCCACTGCTACAAAAACCAGCTCAGGCCTGCCGAGGCTCACTCTGGCCCCAAGCTTCAGGGCTCCCTACTGTCTCCACGAGGAAATACAGACTCCTTGGAGCCCGGCACTGGAGGCCTCCGGAATGTGGCCCCGTCTGCCTCTGCAGCCTCGACTGCTCTGCGTCCCTGCCCGACTGCAGCCAGACTCGGCCTCTGGCTCTTTGCCCAGGCTGCCCCCAGCCTTCTCAGAATCTTTGTCCTTTGGCTGAGCGTTTCCTGCTTCGCGACATGCCTCCCCCTGCCCTACTGTGCCCACGTTCTCCCTCCTCTTTATCCTGTGGGGATTAGTCTGTAGGGCAGGATCTTCCATGAGGATGCAGGGACAGGGATCTATTTTTTACTTTGTGTCCCCGGCACCTGGGACGCCTGGCACATACAGGAGGAGGAGGTGCGGCAGGAGGGGCAGCTAACATTTATAAAGCACCTACTATGCACCAGACACTGTGTCAATCACTTTACAATTATGGTCTTATTTCACCCTGGGAGTTAGGCACTGTTATTGTCCCCATTTTACAGATGAGGAAACCGAGGCAAATGGAGGTTAAGGGACTTCCCCAGGGTCACACAGCTAGGAAGTGTCTGAGAACGGATTTGAACTCAGGTCTTCCTGACTCCGGGCCACCTGGCTGCCCACTACTTCAGTAGGTAATTGAGTGGACTTGCATCCTCTTGTCTTACACCGCCCCCCTACACAACATGGGCCCCAGCCAGCCTGCTCTCCTCCCTGCCTTCCAAACCCACTCTGCACTGAAATGTGCCCTTGCCCTGGCCCCTGCCAGAGAGGCTGCATGCCACAGAGAAGGGACAGCTGACCTTGAGGCCAGCAGGATCTGAGTTCAAATGCTGCCTCTTCCACACGCTGGCTGTGGCACCCTGAGTGTGGACCCATTTCTTATTCTGGGCCACTCTCTGAGACTGAGTGACCGTGAAGGGGCTGAGCCACCCTGAGGGGCAGCACGGCTCCTGGACTGATGCCGGTCTGGAGGCCTCTGTGAGCACTTCTCTGACCACTCCTCTACTCCCCTAACACTCCCACCTAGCTCCCTTTTATCTGTGGTCTTCCTTCCTTAGAATGTTAGCTCCTTCACTGGTGCGTTGTTGCTGGAGTTGTGAATTGGTCCAGTCCAATTTGGAGAGCAATTTGGAACCATTGTTTTCACGTGTAAACGATTCAGAGTCAGACCACATCTAATTCAGGTGCAGGCATTTACTGAGGATTGACACCCCTCAGAAGTCGGGCCAGCAGCTTCAGTGAAAGCAAGATGGATTTTCACAGGGTAAAGGTGCAATTACATAACAGAAATTATGAATATTTAAAAGGCAGAAGGGGTTTGTTAAGGAATTGGATAATGGGGAGGGGTCCCAACCTCAGTGGAACTGCACGTGTGATTACCCTCAATGCATATAGAAAAAAACCCGTGGGGGGATTGTGTATGTGCTAATGATATTATAATAAGCCTCTCCACGTCATAAGTTCACCTAAAGGACAGCTTTTGCTATTACTGCACAGGTGCCTACTTAGGGAAAATCCCTTCTGTTGTTTTGGGGACCACATCCTGCTCGGGCATCCTGGTGGCGCTGCTCTCTGATTGGCTGGCTGTTGTGGTCCTGTCTGAGACGAGATGGCTGTGGTTGTGGTTGAGTGCATGGACACACCTGTCTGGGGGCAGTGGCTAGCTAGAGGCAGTGGCTGGGATCCCATTACCTGCTGTTCTAGTGAGCATCGAGGCATGTGTAAGGAAGTTAGGATGCTGAGTTGGGGAGAGGGGCAGTGGGCCTGCTGTTCTGTGATTGAGTCTGGGGGCCTGTGGCGTGGTTAAAGCCAGACTGTGTGGTTAAATCAGGACACACTTGCTGTTCTAGTGAGCAGCGAGGTATGTATGAGGAAGTTAGGATGCTGAGTCGGGGAGGAAGGCAGTGGCTAGGTAGGGGCATTGTCTGTGTCGAATCTGGGGGCCTGCGGTGTGGACAGGCCTGTCGTTCAGTGGGGCCCATGAGGAAGTTAGAACGTTAGAGCTACGGGCAGCTCTATTAGGATTCCAAGGCCCCAGCCTGAAAGGTGCTTGCTCTTCACCCACACTTCTTGGAACCCATCCCTCCCTTCAAGGCTCACCATGGAAGGCCTCCGAGGAGCCTGGCCGTCTGCTTTCTCAAGCTCCCTCATAGTACTCACGAGGATCCGTGTTGCATCCCCAGCTCACTAGAACGAAGGCAGCTGGTGGCGAAATGGATATTTTGCTGGACTTGCCTGGAGCCAAGAAGACCTGAGTTTGAATCTGGCCGCAGCACGTCCTTTCACACCTGAGCAGGTGCAGACAATGGGGCCGCAGAGCAAGTCACACGTCCCAAGTGGGAATACACCTTTGGCTTCATTCAAGGCATCCCCTGGGATCGGGGCGCCCACTCACCAGTGGGCACAGACCCAACCACTGAGAAATGGAAAACAAGCAGCAGTTACCCCGCTGAACTCTGCCTGTTCCAACAAGGGCACAGTGACATGCCCACAGCCCCACAGACCCAGTGCTCTGGGGCGCCCAAACTGGGCACCACCGTGGCTCCTACCATAGCCAAGGGGGGACCTCCCATTCCAACTGGAGCTGATGTGAAGCCAATGACAGGGACGGCAAAAGGCTCTGGTTCTGGGAACGCTGGCAGCTCCCCAAATGGGGGAGGGGGGGAGACATGAAAACATCAGACTGTGGTTTGCCTGGGAGAGGTCTGAGTGTAGTGTCTGGCCTGACTTTGCTCCCAGGTGTCCTGGCAGAGATGAGAGGGATCCATGGGGTCCCTGGGATGCGTGAGGGACAGGCCCCAGGGCCACAAACCAGAGCTTCTTAAGACAGAGACAATCCTGTGCCAGCGGCTGGGATGGGATCCTGCTGAATGCCCTCCAGGGGCAGCAAAGCCGGACAGTTAACCAAGACTTCTCCCTTTAAACAGTCCTGCCCTTTGTCAACATGCCCCGAGTTGTCCCAGGCACCCAAACCAAAAATCCTCACCTACCTTGGCTCACCTCTGATCTGCTGACGAGGAGAATGGAAAGAAGGCTGGATTTGAGATCAGGGCTCTCCCATCTCTTGGTGTTTGCACACACCATGCCCAGCTCAGGGGCCACCTCTCCCAGGAAGCCCACCCTTGGTCCCCATAATTACTAATGACTCTTGTGACCCCATTTGGGGTTTTCTTGGCAGAGATCCTGGAGTGGTTTGTCATTTCCGTCTCAAGCTCATTTTACAGATGAGAAAACTGAGGCACACAGGGTGAAGTGGCTTGTCCAGAGTCACACCGCTAGTAAGTGTCTGACTCCAGATTTGAATTCAGGAAGACTCCAGGCCTGGCCCTCCGAGCACTGTGGGATGGATACAAGACTGGCTTCCTTAGTCATTTACCTAGCAAGGTTTTGTTCACATATCAGCTATGGGGCAGAAGTAGGAGACGCTGCTCAGGCGTCATGGCAGAGTGTTACAGCTGTGCTGTGCGGGGGAGATGTGGCTTCTGGAGCCAAGAGGAAGAGAGGGGCGTAGGAAGGGGAAGCGCTGGAAGCCAAGAGGAGACGGGAGGAAGGACAGGAGGGGAGGGCCGAGAAGGGCCCCAGAGCGGGGGTGTCGGCGGCGGGGGACCTAGAGGTGCAGAGGCCAGGGCTCTTGGCTCCGCTCTTCAGGAGCTCTGGCCTCAGCAGACCCGCAGTCCGCACGAGAGGCTGGGGCGGGGAGGGCGGCCTCACCCTCCCACTTTCCGGCTGAGGAGCTGCTGGACAGCAGAGCCCCCACCCCCGGTCATCTCTAGGCTCTGAGCTGGGAACCTCTTCTACCCACTTTCACCTTTCGGTCAAGGACTGTGAGGCCTCCCCAGAGAGTCTCTGTCCTCAAGGTGCTTACATTTCTCGGCTGAGACCCCAACGCGTGGGAGGAGGGGGCGGGGGACCAGCGAGGGCTGAGCAAAGGCAGAAACCCGAGGAAGCCTTTCAAAAGAAGAGAAGGGAGGGGAAGGCAGGCGCCTTCAGTCTTTCAGACTCTGGGGGCCCAGGACTGAGGAGGGAAGCAGAGGCAGGAGGATGGGGCAAGGGGAGGGTGGACAATGAAACCCCCATAGGCGGGGCCTTCAGCTTGGATCCAAGCTAGCAGGAGGCTGCGGCGGGAGGGCAAAGCCGTGGGCAGGGGCCGCGGGCCAGATGCCAGCATCCGCAGGAAAAGCAGCAGAGATCCTGGAGGGGGTGGGGTCTCTCCACTCCCCTCCCATCTGGAGCTGGCCGCCTCTGGCCAGGTCGGAGCCCGGGGGCGGCCTCCTGTTCTGCCCTCCTCGGGTCTACCTTCAGCTCATCTCCATTCCTCGGCCTCTCCTCGGCGCTCCTTGGCAGGAGGCGGCCCCGCGGGGCACACCTGGGCGCAGCCAGAGAGCCAGGGACGGAGGGGAGCGGACCGGAGGAGGAATGAGCTCACTTCCTAGGTGAGAAGAAAGGAGACAACCCCACCCCCTTCCCTGAATCGTCCCGCCCCCCTCATTCATCCTTTTATGGAACGCTGATCTCTAAGCGCTCTAAGCCAAGGCTGCGCTGACCGCGCGACTCAGCATGCATCCCGCAGGTAAAGCCCTCGTAGAGCCTGGAGGGGCAAGGAGGGGAGAAGGTAGGCGAAAAGAGGGAGGCGGCCTGGGCAGGCGAGCTGGCCTCCGGAGGAAGCGGCGGTCAGTCTCCCCGTCCTTCCGGTCGGGTCTGTCGCCTCCGCCTTGGCCCCCTGAGCCTCCCGGTACTCCAAGATGGTTAAGCCCCGCGGCGGGTGCGGGGGACCAGGCCTCTTTGGTATCTGCTAGGGATGCTGCAGAGCGGGAGGGCGTCCTCGGCCGCCTCGGCCGCCCTCCCTACCCTGCAAAGAGGGTGTCGCTGCTTCGCTCTGAGAGGAGGTTAAGGAGGGAGGAGCTCTTGTCCTACGCAATGGCCTTCCTCCGCCTGCGTCAGGGTCTCTGCTCCTCCAGAGTAGAGGAGCTTTCCATCCCCACCATCCCCTCCATACCCTCCCCTCTCCTGTGCCCGCGAAGGGGAGTCTGGCGCTCAGCCCGTGCGCTGCCCCTCTCTGTGGCCCGGGCCTCTGGGGCGCGGACACCGAGGCGACGGTCCTTGGATGCCGGGGGGGGGGGTTCCATTTCGAGGCCCAGGAAAGACCCTCAAAGGAGCTCCTCACCCCGGCCGGCGGCGCCCTTCGGGCACCTGGGAACTCGTGAGGGAAGGCTTCGTGGAGAGGCGGGAGTCACAGGTGGCCGGGGGAGAGAGGGGAGGAGGTAGGAGTCCCTGACGTGGACCTTGTCCGAAGTCTCTCCTCAGCTGACGGAGCAGAGGGTCAGGAGGCGCTCAGACAGGACCACAATACTCACCCGGTGACTGGGTGGGGTGGGCTGAGCCTCTGCCCTGTCGGCCAACCCGAGATCAGCGTTGAGCCAAGCCCCTGGGCGCGGCTGCTAGGCTCGCCTCTCAAGCGCTGCGGGCGTGGACCGGACCAATGGCCTGCGGGCTGGCCACCCAGCCGCCGGCCGCTCCCTTGCGGGAGAGACAGGCTCTGGCAGCCTGGCGGAGGAGTGCAAGCACAGGAGTCGTGGCTCATACGGGACTCCTAAGTTTCCTTGTGCCTGCCCGGCGCTGCGACCCCCACGTCACTTTCTCCTGAAGGGCTGGGAGAATGGTGAACATCGCAGAGCTGGTCACGGGGCTTCTTTTTGCAGACCGGTCGCCAGAGGTCTGCGGAGTCAGCTGGGATTGAGCCATCTCCTCCCTCAGCCAAACTGGGGATCTTCGGCAAAAGCAGGGCCCGACCATCCCCCTCCGCATTCTCTGCGTACTGTGGCTTCCCGCCCAACCTCCCCCCACCCCCACCGAGGTGCGCGCCGTGCTTTCTCTGCTGGGGGATTGGCGGGGGGGGGGGGGGGGGGGGGGGGAAGCGGCGGACAGCCTTCAGAAAATGTCTATCTGCTTTAAACAAAAATGAACCCTGCGGCATCTAAGGGCAGCCTGTCTTTAACGGTCCGGCCTTGAGACTGGGCTTCGGAGTCAGGGCAGGAAGGGACCTGATCATATGGTCCAACCACCTCAGAGGGAAGAAGTAAGAAGAAGGCCGGAAGGGCCGCAGGGGAGGACTCAAACTCAGGGTCTTCTTGAACTAGGCTGTGTTTACTTTCTCATCTTGTTGGTTGTTACTGATTCCAAGCTGTTTCCTGGCCCTCTGTGGCCAGGGGACGCCTCTCCTAGGGGCTAGCCTTCTGATGGCACGGTCTGACCATGTAACCCCCACACTACTCGGTACACTCCACTAGTTTCCTGTTACCTCCGGTATCAAATATAACATCCTCTTTGTCTTTTAAAGCCCTCTCTAACACAGACCCTTCCTGCTTTTCCAGGCTCCCTACTACCCATCCTGCCCCCCCCCCCATTATTCTATGATCCAGGGCTACTGGCCTCCTGCCTGTTCCTTGCCTGGGACACTCCCATCTCCCTACTCCAGGAATTTGCACTGGCCATCCCACATGCCTGGAATGCTGTCCCTCCTAGTTCTCCTGGCTTCCTTTAGGTCCCTTCTAAAACCCCACCTTCTACAATAAGCCTCTCCTGGTCCCCATCAACGCCAGGGCCTTCTCTCCTTCTTTCTCTTGGGGTTAATCTCCAATTTATCCTGGATAGATCGTGTCTGTACATAGACGTTTGCCTACTCCATTAGGCTGGGGGCTCCTCCAGGTCAGGGACCGCTTTTGTTTGTTTTCAATCTCCTCACCCCATCCCACCCATTCCAGTAAGTGCTTTGCACACTGGGGCACCTGGTGGATAGTGCAGTGGACAGATTGAGCAGCCTGGGATTAGGAAGACCTGAGTTCAAATCTGTCTTCACACACTTACTAGCTATGTGATCTGAGGCAAGTCACTTAAATAGCTCTCTGCCTCAGTTTCCCCATCTGTAAAGTGAGGCTAATTAATAGCACCTACTTCCCAAGGTTGTTGTGAGGATAAAATGAGATATTTATAAAGTGCCTTGCAAGCCTCAAAGCACTACATGAATGCTATTATTATTATTATTTTATTTTTATTTTAAAGAGCAGACTGTGCACAATGATATCTCAGGTTCCTTCTTGCCCTGAGTCTCTGACCCCAGACAGGATCTTGGAGAGCCCAGAGCAAGGAGAGCTGTTGGGTTTGTGCATGCCTTTGGATGGAGGCTGGCTTAGTCTTGCCTCCTCTAGGACACAAGGAGATCTCAGGGCCATGCGGCTTTTTTTTTTCCTTAGGGCAAAGGAAAGGAATGGGCATCAGCAGCCTCTTTCTGGTGGGAACCTGGACACCCTCTCTGGCAGAAATGAAGCTGGGATTCCAATTGTTTAATGGGAACAAACCCACTTTGGAGGGTGTGGCTGTCTCTGTAGTTATTCTCAAGTGGTCTTACCTCAGTTATCGACTGTACTTTGCACCCAGAGGCTAAGCCTGAAACAGATGGGTGCCCAGCATGCCAAGAGCCTTGCTCCCTGCCAGAACTAGATGAGAAAAGTACAGGACTGGGTGGAGCTTTCTGTCCAGGGTGATAACACGAAGACTTCCAGACCCTTCAGGGTCCTGACTAGGACCCCTCCTCCCCTTGCTTTCAGGGCTCCCAAGTTCTCCCCAAGTGCCCAGGATACCCAAGAACAATGGGAGAGTTCCAAGACCAAGAGTGAGGGTATGAAAGGAAGCCACCAGATTTCCCTGTACCTCAGCTCTCCTTGCCTGCCAAATTCTGGGCTTAGGAGATGACCCTGGTAATTTATGAAAGGGAAAGATCCTGGGGGCAGCTAGGTGGCACAGTGGATAGAGCACCAGACCTGGAGTCAAGAGGACCTGAGTTCAAATCCGGCCTCAGACACATGATACTTACTAGCTGAGTGACCCTGGGCAAGTCACTTAACCCCATTGCCTAGAAAAAAAAAAGAAAGAAAGAAAGTGAAAGATCCTGAGCGCAGATTGTCCTTCTACAAAACATTGTGAGAGGGGCCCAACCATTTTGGAAGCAACTGGCAATTATTCTTGATGAAAACATCCATACCCTTTTTGATCCAAAGATTCTGCAGTGAGGCATGTGTATGCCAAGGAAGTCAGTGATAAAAAGAAAACCCTATAGGTCCCCAAATACTTAGGGCTGCTCTACCTTTTGGTAGTGACTTAGAATTGGGAAGAAAAGAGCTGCCCACTTATGGGGGAATGGCTAACCAAGTTGTAGCATGGGAATGTGATGGAATATTTACTGTGCCCTAAGAAATGAGAAATATGGGAAATACAGAGAAACCTGGGAAGATCTACATGAACTGATGCAGAGTGAAGCAAGGAGGACCTAGGAAACAGGATCTTCAACACGAGCACAAGCCAAGTCAAGAGACATTTATTAAGCACCTACTATATGCCAGGCTGTGTGCTAAGTGCTGGGAATATAGAAAAAGGCAAACCAAACAGAAAACTCTTCAACAGTGAAAAGCACCACCACGACACTGACCAAAATGGTCCCAAAGGAGAGTCAAGAAAACATTTCACCATCCCCTCCCCACAGAGGCGGGGGCCTGTGAGTGTGGAGCACCACCTGTGCTGTTAGACATGGCGGATGGCTTGGCTCCTCTCTTTTGGATTCTTGCTCCCAGAATCACAGAAGAATCCAAGAAGGCTCCTTGGGGGAGGGGGAGGGGGAGGGGGCTTTGGAAATGAGGGTGACAGAAAAACCAATGCGTCAGCACCAGTGAGAGTCAGAAGACAACCAGTGATGAGATCCAGGTGGCCCATGGGAGAAGCACGAAGTTAGAGGAATCTGAAGGAAGGTGGGCTGGCTCCTCCTCTTCTGAGATGCTGCCACACCCCGGAAGGAAGCCCCCAGGCAGCTGCTGTGCATCTTGGAAAAGACCAGGCATGGGCTTCCCTCCCAGCGAGGGATGGTGCACAAGCAGCTGAGGTGGTTTTGTTGGCCATGAGATTCAAGGCCCCACCACCTCCCCCGATGGCTGGTTGAGCCTTCTTCCCTCCCATCTAACCCTGTAATCATCTTGCATGGGTTTGCATGTTGCCTCCCCCATTAGAATGGGAGCTCCCTGAAGCCAGGGCTGGGTTTGCTCTTCTTTGTATCCACAGTGCTTAGCGCTGTGCCTGGCACACAGTAAGCGCCTAATAAATGTTGATTTGTTGACTGACTGAGTGACTGATTTTGCCTACTCATCATTCTTTGTTTCCAAGCCTGTTGGGAAATGATTTTGATGGCCCAGCTGGAAACTGACCTGGCCTAATGCCCCAAGGGCTCATGGGATCCCACAGCTTGTGCCAACGCCATCCCTTCTCTGTTCCAGAGCTAACAGAAGAAGTTTAAGGCTTAGCTTCCCGTGAACTTCTCAGAACAATGCTGGCTGCCCAGGTCTCCAGGTCTCTGGTGAGGATTGCCAGGAACCCCCTTGGTTTCCAAAATGTTCAGAACATCAGAAGGTAAGAAAGTGGGGAGGAGGACAAGTCTGTTGAGGTTTACCAGAAAGATAACTGGGGTGGGTGAGCAGGGTTTTGCCCCAGGACGAACAGTTCAGTCATTGTTTATGCCTCTGGCACAGAGGCCCCTGTAGTGCCTGGCCAGGCCCAAGGGTCACTGGTGAATGGCCTGACTGGGCCGCCATCCAGGGGCATGCTGGAGGTGTGGAAATATCCCGGAGCTGTTCCATCCAAGGACGTAGCAATATGGAGGCCTGGAGAGATTTCTGGGACCTCAGATATCGAGACATGAAAGTGGAGGATCCGGGGACCGGGGATGACTCCGGTACTGTGTGGCACATCTCCACCTCTCCCTTCTCTGAACCTCAATTTCCCCTTATAATTTATATAGCACACCAACCCTGCGAGGGAGATGCTATTATTATCCTATTTAACAGTTGAGGAAACTGAGGCAGGCAGAGGTTAAGAGTCTTGCCTAAGGTCAAACAACTAGTAAGCTAAGGTCACAAAGACAGTAAAGGGCTGTCTGAGGCTGGATTTGAATTCAGATCTTTCCAAGAATGAGGAAGGTGACCATTCTCCATCCTCCGTCCTAACCCTAACCCCACGTGGAGCGTTGTGCTCAGTCCAGGGAAGGACAACCTGGAGAGCGTCCAGCAGAGGTGGGGGAGGACCTGGGTCCTCCTGGGGCTGCTTGAGGGACCTGGAGCCACTTAGGTCAGGGGAGAGAAGACCCCAGCTTTTGGGGTCATAACATCTGATCCACCTGCAGGTCAGCTCCAGGCCCTTGGAGGGTCATTGGCCAGGGCGGGCTTGGTCGGCAAGACCTGCCTGGAGCGCCCTCCAGGACGGCCTGCCCAGGGCCCTCAGCTTTGGGTCCGCTCTCTGTTGCCAACTGCCTGCCCTCTTGGCTCTGGCTTCCACAGCTTCAGGCCACGTGTAGGTTATGTGGGGCTAAGGGAGAGGCCTGAGCCAGGTTCCCACTAAGCTGTCCAAGCATCCCAAGTGTCCCTGCCCTCTCCCCCTTCACTGCTACATCCTTCCTTGCAGGCCTGGCCAAGAGCTCTCCAGTCCACACTCCATCCTGGCTGGCCCAAAGGCCTATGGAACCCAAAAACGAGAGGTGCACAGAGCCCCCAGCCACGTGTTTCTGAGATGGGGCCCACCAATGCCAGGCCTTCGGTCAGGGTGGGGGGGATTCTCAGCCTTGGTGATGAGACTGATGTCAGAGCCTTGACGTAGGTCGTGATGTCCCAAGGTTCCTCTGGGGAAGGGGGCTGTTGAGGAGGCAGAACCACTTCCTAGACCCTAATGATGAGCCTGTGACTTCCTCCCGAAACCAGGGGCTGAGGAGAGAGCGGGGCTAGCAGGAGAACCCCGTCCATATAAGCTGCCATCTTGTCACTGGCTCCTCTCAGGCCCGATAAGCATGTATTTTTAAGTAGCCGCTGTGTCCCTGGCAAAGCTGGTCAGTGCTGGAGTCAGCGCTCTGCGGATGATGTCCAGCCCTCCCAGCCTCTGGTCTCCTCTGGGCTGGAGGCCCAGACTCATTCTCTTTTCTCTTGGAGACCTGAGCCCCCATTGGTGCTGGTCACTCTTAGTTTCCTGCAGAGTTGGCTGCGTCCCTGGGGTTCCTTTCCCTCGCCCTCTCTGCCCTTTGGGATGCCAGGGTTCCAGAGCAGGTTCATTAACAGGCCTCCCCCGAGTCACATGCTTACTCCTCCTTCAGCTCAGAAATAAGGCCGTGTTAGTCACTGGCTGTGACTCGGGCTTTGGCCTCTCCGTTGCCAAGCAGCTGCACTCCCATGGTTTCCAGGTGTTTGCTGGTTGCCTTCTCAAGGTAGGGAAGGGCCACCTGATGGGTCCTGGGGGGCGTGCACTCTGCACCTTTCCTGGCCCTGATCTCCCGGGCTGGCTGGGCCACCGGCCAAACAGCTAGTCAGGAAGGGGAGCCAGAGGGCCCCCGAGATCCCAGCTCCTTTGACGCTGCTGGCGAAGCCCACCCTAGGCACACAGGTGCTCACTCTGAGTCTCTGCTGTCATGGCCCCACTTTGGTCCGCCATTGTGGTCCTGGCATCCTCTGAGCTGGAAGGGCCTTCAGGGGGCCAAATCCCCTATTTTACCAATGAGGAAACTGAGGAAAAGGCCTAGCCTGCAGCCAGTATTCAGACTTGGGTTCTGTAACCCCAAATCCCGTGGTCTTCCCACAGACATTTGCAAATTCACGGAAGCCCACGTTCTTGTAGCCCCAGCTCACACAGACACGTGCCCTCACCCCGCTCCATGTGTACACCCTAGCAGAGGTCTGGGGCACCAAAAGATTTCACCAGAGGAGGTGGGAGCTTGTGGACTGGGCTATGTGAAGGGAAGGACCACTCCCATCTCGTGCCAGGAGACTCAGCCTGAAGCTGATTGACTTCGGCCCCACTCCTACGGGCCAAAGCCCCTGCTAGGGTTCTGTTTCTCCCCTCCTTGACCCTGGCAGTGGGCTTCTTCCCTCCTCACTCTTCTTCCTCCTCTGTCTTTCCTTTGGGGTCTCTGCTCTGGCTGCCATGGCTGAGGTCCCAGGCAGGCAGTGCCCGGCCAGTGTCCATGCCCCTGGAAGGAGGTCTTTTCTGTCATCTTCTCTCTCATCTCCTGGCCCTTTCCTGACCTGCCCCCTTCTAGCTCTGGGTGGCTCTGGGACAGGAACGCTCCTCCTGGTCCTACGCCCTGAAGTCCCTGAGTTCTTGGTGCTCCCCCATCCCCAAAGCCTGGGCTCTTTGCCTGAATGTTCCTGGGGGAATCACAGAATGCCAAAAGCAGAGGGGCCAGTGAAGGTCTGCATTCCACACCTCCCCTCCTCTTGTGCCCTGCCTTGTTCTCCTGCCCGTCTTCTGAGCCCAGGACATGATCTGGGGTCTCCAGAAGACCTCTTCCCTCACACCTCTCCTCCTCATCTGCCATGTGGGCCCTGGGACCAGCAGCTGCTTCCCCTGCCCTCTGGACAGAATCAGAACAATTGCCTTTAAAGCTACCAAAGGAATTGGCTTCCACGTAACACTGATGCTCCAGCTTTTCAAGGTCTCTCCAGATCCCCTCCCTGCTGTGTTTGCTCTCCCAGCTCCATGTTGTCTGAAAATCTGCCAAGCACACCAACTCTGCCTCCATGTCTGCCTGGGATCAAACTTACACAGAATGGGGTCAAGCACAGAGCCCTGGGGCCCTCCCCTGGAGACCTCCCCACCAACCGGCCAGATACACTCATGATGACCGCGCTATTTCCCCCACGTCTCTCTGTGTTTTCCACAATCATGGGAAGGGAGACTTTGAAAGATGCTTTGCTGATCTCTAAGGACCATCTTTCTTTCCTCCCATCTCAAGTGAGTCTGGCCTGACTTCCTGAGGAGCCTGGCTGGTTCCTGGGATCATTGTGGGGTCACAAACCAGCCCCATCGTGAGCATCGGTCAAGGGCACACGTTGGTGCTTTGGACCCTCTCCTCTTTTCAAAGAAATCAGGACAACCTTGGCCCTTCTCCAGGCCCCTGGCGCCTCCTGGCTTCTCTAGGTCTTTGGGTCGGCAGGCCCATCTTCTCTGAATCCTGCAGGACAGGGACAGCCAGCCTGGTGGCCAGGGGCTGACTCACCGTCTCCCAGCATCGACTGGGTTTACATTCAGGATAAGCCGTTTCAGCCTGTCCTTTCCAGGGCAGGTTGTTCTTGGAAGGGAACACAGAACCAAGGAAGAGCTGAGGGTCCTGCTGTCTCGCCGTCACCCTTTGGAGCTGGAAGGGGCCCAGAGGCTACTCAGCTCAAACCCCACATTTTACAAATAAAGAAACTGAGGCATTCTTGGGAACCAGTCTTTGGCGTCCCCCTCCCTGGGGGGAGGGCGTCCTGGAAGAGGCTGGGCCATTGTGGTGGAAATTCCAGGGGTCCCCGAGCTCTCTCCCAGCTCCCGAGGGTGCCGAGGACTGGACTGGAACTGGGGAATCGTCCTGTGGGAAGCCTTCTCCTTCGGAGCCCCAGGATGTTTCTGGGAGTCCCTGCTGGAGACACCTTCCGGCCTGCCCACTGTGCTTCTCAGCCAGGTTTTTGCTGGACCTGAGGGCAGTGTTAACCCAGGGATTCTGGTGTGTGCGCCTAGGATAAGCGAGATGCAGGGGCCGAAGAGCTGGATGCCATGAATAGTAGCCGGATGAAAACCGTCCAGATGGATGTCTGCAAATGCGCTGAGGTCAACAGGGCCGTAGAGCTCATCCAGGAGGACCTGAGGAACTCCGAGAAAGGTAGGCCGCGTGTCCCAACGATCTCCTGAGGGGGCAGACTGTGAATAAGGCAGGCCCCAGCCCCTTCGGCCCCGCAGCGATGGAGCCCAAGAGGGGCCGTCAGGGAGATGACGGTGGGCTGGGGAGAGGGCAGCCACTGACCCAGAAGGCCAACTGCCGCCTCCTTCCCCTCCCAAGAACTACTTGTACTTAGGACTTTTTTTGAATACCTGAACTGGTTCCAATTCACCCCACCTCTGCCAACGAATCCTCCCTGTAACCCAGAATAATAACTTCGCCTTTCCTGATCTGTGGGTGTCGACAAGCTCCAGCACCCAGCACAATGCTCGGCATGCAGTAGGTGCCAAATAAATGCGTGTTGGATTGAATGGGATTGGTGCGAGAAAGAGGCTCGTGGGAAGGGGAGTGGGTAATTTATCAGTGCCATTTAAAAAGTGTTTTTACTAAAAAGAATGTGCCAGAATATGGATGCACAGGAAGTTCTTGATAATACTTGCTGACTAGCTGACAAAACTTCATGAAAAATTGCAGAATAAAATCTGTGCATTGGGGAGAAATTTGAGCACAGGACTTGAATGCTCAGAAGACATTGTGCTGTCACGTCTGAGAAAATGGCCCCTGTGTTTGTAGATGTAAGCTTGGTTTCTAATTGTAAAAAGAAAGAAATGCAAAACTGAAAAAGCTTGAAAACCCCAGAGGATGAGAGAAGTGGGGCATGGTAGCTGCTTTCCCAAAGGTTAGGCCATGCCCAAAGGGTGTCTGGTGCTCACCTCTCCGTCTTACTCCAATGCAGAAGCGCTCTGGCTCTCAAAGGCTCGCAGGGGTACTAAGTCCTGGCTGGTCCCGGCAGGCTGGAGGGACCTGGAGGCAGAGTGAGGATCAGCCCAAGTGCAAGGCAAACTCTCGCCTTGTAAGTCATGGGGCTACCGTGACTTACAGAGACTGATGCCCTGTGCTGTGAAGAAGACTCCCAGAGAAGAAAGAATAGGTGACCCAGAGTTCATGCTTGGGATGGTCCAAGGAGAAAGACAGCAATCTCTCTCCTTCTCCTCTCTCCTTTCTCTCTCTCTCTCCTCCTCTCTCTCTCTCTCTCTCTCTCTCTCTC